TATATATATATATTTATATTTATATTTATATATTTACATACATTTAGTGCCACTAAAATAAATAAAAAAAGCATTTTCGAAATGTTAGAGTTATTTTGAATTTAAACATTTAAATATTATCACAAGATATGAATAATGTAATCTAAATATCATAAAATTAAAATTGCTTTAAGTGGATTGCTGCTAATACAAAATTTTTTAATTTATATAATATTTCTGAATTAGTTTATATATTAACATTGTTCTATAAATAGAACTTTTCGGCACTTTAGGAAAAAAATAAAAAAAATTATTATATTTTTGTCGAATCCCAAAATATTCTTCGGGTCACCCCAATGAATTTGGACGGTGAACAAAATTGGAAAAAAAAGGAGCAGAGAAATACAAACACAAATAGAATAAATTTTGTGTGAATAAATACAGTTGTCTTTTCTATATGAATGACTAAGTCATAGGAAAGTGTCATGTAAATTACATAATTGTACATCATTCAATGGGAATGTTAAAAATATTTATGAGTTATCACGCTTTTTCATTTTTATAATCGAATTGGATATATTTTGACCTTGTAATTGCTGCTGGAGTCGTTTTGTATCTATAATTGTCTTAGGCATTGTTTCATAGTTATAACTGTATGGCTTAGACATACGATATTTATTTGATCGGCCAAAAAATCATTCGACCAACTATACTATCTTCGACCGCCTTTTTCTGAGGAATCAATCATGAAGACTCATTATCCTCTGGGAGGATTATTACATTAGACAATGACACATTACCACAATCTGCTCGGCAGCCTATCTTTTTTCGATGAATCTATATAAGAAGAGCAATTGTTAAGCGGCTGTTGTTTTGGCGAATATCATTTGTGTAAGTTAGATTATTATCAATATCGGTTCATGACGCTCTTTGGTTAGATCTGACAACACTCAGTCGGCTCAAAGTTCGGCCTACTGGAGTGTTACTTAATTGCTCGACCTTTTGTTGCTTTCTTCGTGCAACCTATTAAATCTCCTTAAGATTTATGCAACCATATTTCACATGTACAATTTTGAAATGTCAATTTAACTCCTAATGTAAAAAACTAATAAAATGTTTTTTATTTATTTTTAAAGTATAAATAAATAAATAAATAAATAAATATATATATAATAATAATCAACGACGACTAATGCTAGAAGTAAGATTTAAATAAACATTTAAATAGATCATAAGACCAACGCCACACCTAAATTATAATATATCAGCTGTAGAATGCTACATCATTATTATAATCTAAAGAAATTATTTTGTTTTGTAGGTGAACCGAAGAAAATGATCGACGCAAGCAGCCATTAATAATATGTAAGGTTCGATGTACTTACACCAACCATAAGTGAACGCGTGTCCACTTTTCTCTTCTCCCTCTTCAATTGCTGAACACGACTGAAATTTCCCTTTGATTTCTCCTCTCTCTCTCTCGCAGCAAAGCTGAAGCCAAGAAACCCTCGCCGGCGGCGTGATCACCCGCCGCCGCGCCAAAACAAGGCTGCTAGCGTCCATGGAGACGAAGCCAGCGCCGCAGCAGCGGCGTTGGCTTGTTCCACTCCTCGCCTCTCTTCTTCTCTGCTCCCTCCTTATATCCGTTGCTCTCTTCTCTTCCTCACCGTCATTCTCGCATCGTACTCTGCTGTTTCTGTCTCTTTCCCAGATCCGCTCCAGCTTCCATGGTGGGAACGCCCTATTCGTCGAGTCTAAGCTTCAGTTGCCGCCGCTTTTGTCTAGACCAGCGAACGCTGTGCCTCGCCTAGCTTACCTTATATCTGGCTCGGCCGGTGACGGCGGGAGCTTGAGACGGACTTTAAAGGCGCTGTATCATCCGGCAAATAGATATGTTGTGCATCTTGATCTCGAAGCTTCGCCGGTCGAGAGGATGGAGCTTGTTGTTGCTGTTAGGGATGATCGGATCTATTCGCGGGTTGGGAATGTGAGAGTGATTGAGCGGGCGAATTTGGTGACGTACAGGGGACCGACGATGGTGGCGAATACGCTTCACGCTGCTGCGATACTTCTAAAGGAGGGGGGAGATTGGGATTGGTTTATTAACCTGAGTGCCTCTGACTACCCCCTTGTTACGCAGGACGGTGAGGGTTTACTTTTTTGTTCTTGTAAGTTTGCAGTTGCTTTTTTTTTTGTTTTGAGAGATTCCCAAATTTGAGAGCTTTCTTCTTTTACTGTTGTGGTGGGGCAGGTTCAGTTCAACTCTTTCTTATTTTGAGGGAATTATTGCTAGCTAGTCGGTCTTTTTTAGGATTATGGTTTGGTGGGATGCGTGCTAGCTGAACTTGTCTGGAGCGTTGGTTTAGGATGGAATTGGGTTTCGATGTTCATGCTCTTTCTTTTTAGTAATGGATTTGGTTTCTGTTCTTGGAGGATACACTTAACCTGTGAATTAGATTGAGAAAGAAGTTCCTTATTACTCCAAGCATCTAGCAAAAAGTTTAGCAGCTCGTCATGCTTGGCATGTTTACACATGTTTTGGGTCAACTACATGAACTGGAGATTATTTAATCCAATTCGTTTTTGTTTCTTATTTGTCAGAGGTCTTGAATTTGATTGATGCCTTTGACTTATGAACCTTTTACTGAGAAGATCTGTCTCTACTTTGCTTCCAGATCTGCTCTACACGTTGTCAAGCTTACCACGGCAACTGAATTTTATTGAGCATACAAGTGACATTGGATGGAAAGAGTAAGATAATCTTTATGGCTTTAATTTTTTTTCCCCCCCATGTTTATAGTATCTGTTAAACTCCCGCAAGTGACATTGAAATTTTTTACTCTTTCTTTTTTATCCCCAATAACATGCAGTTATACCTTCTAAGAGTAAGTTGATTGATTTTTGTTGAACAGGTACCAGAGAGCCAAGCCTGTAATAATTGATCCTGGTCTCTACAGTTTGCACAAATCAGATGTCTTTTGGATTACTGAGAAAAGAAGCGTTGCCACTGCATACAAGCTCTTTACAGGTGAAGTTTCCATTTAATTTTTATTTGCACTTCTTTATTCTAAGCCTACAACATGGCGTCATATGCAAATAGTTCTCTTCAGAGTTTATTGTTTACTTTTATTGTTTATTGTAGTCGATGCTTCCATGGGAGAGACTTGGCTCTTATGTCAGCCCTATTGGCATGTTACTTGAATTATGAAAGTTCCTTTTTTCTTTCTGATTCAGCTTACTTATCAATGGTTTACACATGATAGTCATCAATATTCATTTGAAACATATAAAATACTTGCTTCTGATCTAAAGTCCAATTAATGTGCTATCTGAAGAATATCAATCCAACAGCAAAACGTAAATATTTCTGGATACATTGGCCATCACCTGTTTGCTAATGTACATTTTTTTAAATAAAATTTGATGATTTATTTACTAAACAGCAAAGGCTATTTATGGGCGTACAAGATGAAAGTATTAAAAGACAATAAACTTGGACTTTCCTAAAATATATACACTTCAAATATGATGTTTTCTGAATAATATTATTTTCAAATATGCATCTTATATTAACACTCCCTTTCATGCTGAAGCATATATGTATGTTAGCTTTAGCTTCTCATATAAGCGAAAAAATGTGCGAGAACCCTAACATTTGGTGAAGTTATCCGACGCTTGTTTTGAATTGGAAATGTGAGGATTAAGAATCTTCTTCAAAAGCATATCTTGTATGAAGAGAATCAACCTCCATGTGCTTCATTCTTTGATGAAACATGCGATTGTTGGCACCGTATATAGTTGCATAATTGTCACCATAGAGAATCACATGATCAGTTATTGCCTTATTGGAAAATAGAATTCTTCTATTAGAGCCTTCACACACTTCATTTCATATGTAGAATGAGCCAGAGCTTTGTATTCTTCTTCAGCATTTGATTTGGGTAGAATGGCTTGCTTTTTTCTCTTCTATGTGTCTAGATTTCCTCTCACAAAAAGGCCATGCCAAAAAATTAATTTTTTTGTTTTCAACATACTAAACATAGTGGTTTTTTGGAATACCGAGGGATGGCCAACCAATTTACATTTTTGTTGACTATGAAAAATTTCTTTCTCAACATCCACGGTCCGTTTTAATAAAGCATATTGCAATACTTCTAGATATGTCTTGAGAATAGATACAATGAACAAAGACATGACAAAATGATGATATGATATGGGTTGATATGGTCAAATATCATAAAAGAATGAATAGATGATTATAGTTTATCATTTCTCTTGTCTTAGTTTAATAAAAAGGTCAAAATCTAAAGGCATAGTGCCAGAGGAATCATTAGTTGAAGTAGATTGGATGATATGAGGTGTTGTAGGAGAAGTTGGTCAAGGTCTTGTGGAGTTAACCTTATAGAGCATGACAAGGAGCGTGTGAAGCAACTAGAAGAAGAGGATCAAATGATATTGGTTTAGAAACGGTGGTAGGAAAGAAATGGATATTAAATGGATATTCTCATGAATGGTGCATGAATGGTGATGACTAGGGGTGTAAACGAACCGAACACGAACAAACAAAGCTCGTGTTCGTGTTTGTTTGTTTGAAATTAATTGTGTTTCAAATAGGCTCGTGTTTGAAATTGTTTGTTAAAGGTGTTGTTCGTGTTCGGTTCGATTTGCTCGAAATATGTTCGAATTGTTCGAAATATTTGAATTGTTCGAATTATTCTAATTGTTCGATTTGTTCAAAATGTTCGAAATGTTTGAATTGTTCGAAAATATTAAGATGTGTTTGCATTATTTGTTTTGGTAAAGAGACAACAATTTAATTATTAATTCTCAATTTTTCAAAAGTAGTAAATAACATTTAAAACTGAATTAGAACTTCAACAAAAGCATTCTTTTATCATTACATCCAAATATTAAAGAAAACTGAATTAGAACTTCAACAAAAGCATTCTTTTTATCATTACATCCAAATATTAAAGAAAATAATCCTTTATAAAATTCTAATGACATTAATGATGACCAATTGAAGATTGGATAAATAACTCTTTTAATCATTACATGATTTACATCCAAACCGATGCAAAATTATTGACAAAACAAACTCCAACAATTTATTAGGCCTTCTGCATCAACTGCAAAGATAGGTACCATTGATCTCTCTTAAATCACTAGACCTTTCCCCACCATAGTGCAGAAAAACAGAAATATAACCTTTAAATTTTGTCTTTCGTCATCCCCATATGAATTGCATCAGACAAGATCCATAGAACTCCCAAACCAAAAAGATAGCCGGACCGGATTCGTCATATTCAGCCTTAGATATCCACATCTGTAGCAAATCAAAATAACACACAAAAAATGAGCACCAAGCATAAAAAAATATTGGGGCATTTACATACATGCCAACACAATTCTCATGTATTTACGTTTTTAACACCTAAACTTTAATATTTACATAAATACCACTTAAATCCTTAACATCATATAAAAAAAATACCACTATTACCATCTTCTTAAAAGTAAAGCACACATTTTTCATGAATTGGTTTATAATACCAAAGTATCATAAATGTGAATATTAAAACTTAAGGCGTTAGATATGTAAATACATAAGAAATGTGTGGCATAAATGTAAATTTCCCAAAGTTATTTAAGGATTAATCTTATTTTATTTGCTCTCTGGATTTTATTTTGGAATCCAAAGGGTTTTGAGCGAGCTAAAGATGAATCACAACAATCCATTTTCACATTTGAGTGACCCGAGCATACATAAAAATCAAATTTTAGTCAAATAAAACTACCTGCTGGAATGTGCTCAAAGAACTGCTTATATATATCCTCATCTTAAACTCCCTCGTAACATATGAATCAAAGCTTAAGCAAATCAAAATAAATAACAAAAATAGAATTTGTGCCTTGATATTCACCATTCGGAAAGTTAAAAAAAAATCAGTGTATGTGGATTAAATATCTTGTTGACACTTGAGACATTGTTATGGTACAGAAAACCACAGAATAGATAAATAGGTGATGAACATCATTATTAGCGTTAACTCACATTGGTTTTCAGAATTTTATGAGCCCTCGTTTTCCATTTGTTCCATGTATAACAGCATAAGTTATGGTAAACTACTAGTCACTTAAATGTATTGAGCTTAGTTTACACACAGAAATTTGGCAAAACTTCTTAAGATGGACCCAAAAAATACAGGTAAAGCTAATGATACAATATATTATGAATTACAAAATTATAGAAGAATAAAACTCAATACATTATATGACAAAATTTTGGAACACAGAACTTATTTGATTTTATGTTATGAAGATCTACTTCGAATGAGCTTTATGTGCTAAAACAATCGATGGAAAATAAGTTCATAAAGCCCACCTCTTATTTTTGAAAACAGCCATTGATTACTCACCTTGTGATAGCAACAGTGCTAATGACACATCTAATGTCAACTTAGTCCATAGACACTTTTAAAGGGAGATAAATTAAAATGATAATAAAGAATATCAAATAGAATAGTATTGCCAAATAAGGACTATCATGACAGTTTTAGTTGTTTTCAGAATCAAATAATGATTGGGAAGCTAGAGAAGATAAGCAGCAAAAAAAAAAAATGCTTTTCTTCTTCTTCATTGATACTTAATGAGGAAAGCAGATAGAAATTACCCACCCCTAGGACATGTAAGAAAAAAAAAAAAAGCATTGCACAGTCCTAAATACAGCAGTCCCAATAAGTGAGCCAAAGGCCAACAACAAGATTCTCATAAAAGGCAAGTTGTACCAAAGTAAGCCACCAAAAAATATATGAAAAATGAAATTCAAGGCATTAATTAAATTTGCTCAAATTTTCCCAAAAAAATAAATTTCAGGATTATTTTTGTGGAAATAGATTGAAGGCTCTAATTAAATAATAACCACAACAGAACAAATAATAGTCAATAGCCAACAATTAGAAGTCAATAGCCAAAGCCCCAAAAAAGCCAAAACAATCGCATATTAAGTTTTTTTTTTCTCCACTTGTTATCTGACATATTTTGCAATGAGGCCTTATGCATGCAATATCCAATTTTAAACTAGGCTAATTACATATTGCCTCAACCTTATAGCTCCCCAGCATAAAGGCCCAAGAGATAAACCACTCCAGCATTTCCAACAATAAATCTAAAATCTAGAATAAGATTTCAGAATATCAACTTGGTAAGAATGTCAACTTCATCACCACATCAACCAAATGAAGAAGCCAAGAAAATCAATAATGTACAACATTAAAACCGCTCCATCACCAACAACAACAAAGTCATAAACTGAAAGAAGTAGTTTTCTGACAATGAGCTTATGGGTCTGTTTGGGGCAGCTGCAGCTTATTGAATAATCTGTTGATAAACTGATTAAAAATAATCTGCTGATAAGTTAGGTACAATGGCTATTACAAATTTTTAATTTTTTGAAAAAGTCAAACCGTTGTCCAAAAGCTGCAACCGCACCTAGATAGGTGTGGTGTGAAAACGTTATTTTCAGCGTTTTGAAAACACATAAGCTGTCAAAATGCAGTTTACCCAAACAGGTCATGTGTGTTTTCAAAACGTCATCGCACCAAATAAGCTGCCCCAAACATGCCCTAATTTGCAAGCAGGAGATGATATCGGAAGACATGCGCGTCAAAGCATTTAAGCCTGCAAATTTCAACCGCATAGATACCAAAAACTCAAAATACCTTGCAATGGCATGACTATTCTCTCTACTTATATGTTGTTATTATCAAACCATCGACAGTTTGACACATGGAGGCATAGATTACCCTCAAAGGCACAGGAAATAAACAAGTTATTCGAATGAAATTTATTTTCAAACCTTTTACCCTCAAAGGCACAGGAAATAAACAAGTTATTCCAATGAAATTTATTTTCAAACCTTCTGACATTAATGAAGGAGATATAAAATAAGTTGGACTATAGCAATCTTAAATTAAAAATGTCAAATGAGACATTCAATTTGGACACATAAAAAAAATCCATCCAGTT